TGTGGGTGCTACGCCTGGGGGTGCTGAGCCTGCGGGTGCTCCTACTGGGGGTGCTGAGCCTAGGGGTGCTGCGACTGGAGGTGCTGAGCCCGGGGGTGCTGCGACGGGGGTTGCTGAGCCTAGGGGTGCTGAGCTTGGGAGTGCTATGCCAGGAGGTGCTAAGCTTGGAGGTGCGGAGCCTGAGGGAGTTGGGCCTACTCGTGTGGCGTCTGGCGGTGCTGGGCCTGCAGGTTCTTTGGGTGCTTCGTCTCGACGGGAGCCCCTCTCTCCACAGGAGCTGCGTGAGTGGTTTGCCCGGCGCTGGGGGCGTGCTGCTGGAGCTGGAGGTTCTCCAGCTGCTGAGGGTGCTAGTGCCGCGGGTCCCGGAGGTGCTCGTGCAGGGAGTACTGGAGCTACTGGGCCTGCGGGTGCGACTCGAGCTGGTGCTGCTGAGGGTGTTGGCGCAGAGGCTGCTGCTGTCGGTCCTGGAGGCGGACCTACTGGGGGTACTACTGGTGCTGCTGGAGGTACTGGAGCAGGAGGTGCTCCTGGGGCTGGTGCTGCCGCTGGGGGTACTAGTGCTGTCTCTGCTGTGTCTGGAGTCGCCGCGCGGCCTCGGCCGTACTTCGTTCCGCTCCTTCAGCAGGTTCTTGGTCCCGCCTTCTACTAGTCCTTCTCCTCCCTTAGAGTGTCCACAGCCTGTCCCGTCACAGCTACAGCCGGCCTCCCCACTGCCTACTCCTTCTCCCTACACTGGTCCTACTGGAGGTCTTGCTGAGCGTCGTGAGCCTGCGTCTCGCCCTACGTCGCTTGTCCGCCCTGCTCGCACTAGTGGTCGTGGTTCGCGTCAGCGTCCTCCTTATTGTCCCTGGCACTAGTGGTCGTGGTTCGCACCGGATGTCTCTGCGTCCGTCCACTGCTCCTCTACGTGCCCCTTTGCCTTCTCCTCCTGAGTCCTCTCTTCTTGCTCTTGCCGACCCGGAGTCGGACTCTCTTCGTGCTGCCAGTCCTAGTGTCACGCGTCTCCTTGCTACTGTTGTCACTGACCCTTCCTTTGAGTCCACTGTTGCGTCTGCCTTAGTTAATAAGCTCGTCGACTTTGCTGCTCGCTGTCGTCTAGACTACGCTGCTAGTCTTGTCGCTAAGTCTGAGTCTGTCTATCCTCTGTCCGTTAGGGGTGAGTGTGCCCTTGGCACGGACGTCCTTGAGGACAGGCAGGAGGAGTTCCAGTGCTTAGCAGCTGCTTCACCTCATCTCGTGTTCGTACTGCTTACCCCTGAGGGAGACCCGGATGCACTTGACATCCCGACTCCGCGCTCTTACGCGGAGGCGATAGAGGGTCCCTACTCCTCTCAGTGGCAGGCAGCTATGGACGCAGAGATGGCTTCCTGTAAGTCCACAGGCACCTACGTTGAGGAGGTTCCCTCGCCTGGGGCGAACATCGTCAGTGGCATGTGGATTTTAAGGGCGAAGCGGCCGTCGGGTTCTCCGCCTGTCTTCAAGGCGCGCTACGTGGCTCGTGGCTTCTTTCAGACCTTCTCTCCCACCCCGAAGATGACCACTCTTTGGGTACTGCTGCACATAGCTGCTCACCGTGACTACGAGCTGCACTCTCTTGACTTCAGCATGGCTTTCTTGTAGGGCAGCCTGCACGAGGAGATCTGACTGCGTCGCCCATCTGGCTTCACTGGGTCTTTTCCTCCTGGCACCCAGTGGAGCCTCCGGCGGCCAGTCTACGGTCTCCGCCAGGCACAGCGTGAGTGGCACGACACACTGAGGACTACACTTGCGGCTCTTGGGTTTGCTCCCTCTACTGCCAACCCGTCGCTGTTTCTGCGCACCGACACTTCTTTGCCGCCGTTCTACATCCTCGTGTACGTCGACGACTTGGTCTTTGCCACAGCTGACACTGCTGGACTCGCCCACGTGAAGTCTGAGCTGCAGAAGAGACACACGTGCACAGACCTGGGTGAACTGCGCAGCTACCTTGGCTTGCAGATCACCCGGGACACAGCACAGCGCACCATTACCCTGACTCAGTCACACATGGTGCAGCAGGTCCTTCAGCGCTTCGCCTCAGGCCACTTCTCTGCCTACTCGCCACTCGCTCTCAGCTCTGCCTTTGGATGAGTCCGTAGAGTCGAATGGCCCGTACCCAGAGCTTGTTGGCTGCCTCATGTACCTGGTGAGCTGCACTCGACCTGACCTTGCATACCCTCTTAGCATTCTCGCACGCTATGTTGCTCCTGGGAGACACAGACTGGAGCACATGGCTGAAGCGAAGAGGGTGTTGCGCTACTTGTGCAGTACGTCAGGCATGTGGCTTGTGCTTGGAGGGCAGAGTCGAGTGGTCCTCACTAGGCACGCAGACGCTTCTTGGGCTGACGACCAGGCTACGCAGCGGTCGTCACAGGGTTACACCTTCAGCCTTGGTTCTGGCTCTATTTCTTGGCGGGCTACCTGCTCGTCTTCTGTTCTTGGCTCCAGTTGTGAGGCTGAGATCTACGCTGGGGCCATGGCTGCTCAGGAGCTTTGCTGACTCACCTACCTGCTGAGCGACCTTGGAGAGCCGCCTAGTTCTCCTCCAGTGCTGTACGTAGACAACAAGGCCATGCTGGCCTTGTGTCGAGAGCAGAGACTGGAGCACAGAACGAAGCACATTGCTCTTCGCTACTTCCTTGCTCATGAGCTGCAGCAGCGTGGTCAGCTGCGTCTTGCATACGTGGCCTCTGAGGCCAACACTGCTGATATCTTCACCAAGGCACTTGCGCCTTGTGATCATCAGCGCTTCTGTACTCAGCGCGTTTTGTGCCCGCCTTGCCTCACTTGCTCACTTCTTGACCTTACTTGTACTGTTACATATATATATACACCTGCTCTTGCTTGTCTAGCCTTTTATATATATATGTTCTCTTGCATGTGAACTGGCCTTGTGGCCTTGACCTTGTGCTCCGAATGTGTGGTGACTTTGTGATCCACCCTAAGCTTGCTTTGCTTGCTTTGCTTGACTGGTCTTGTGACCCCTTGTACTCCCCCACTTTGCCTATGGGGGTGTGTCAGAACATTATAGCTTATGCTTTTGTGTAGGCTGTAGTGGGGTAGCCCATATAGGGTACAACCCAATTAGGGTTAGCACTTGTACCCAAATCTTTCATAGTGCATTCATTCTCGTTTCAGTTTTCTCAATTATAACATTCTGACACACCCCCATAGCCAAAGTGGGGTGTAATCAGCACAATGAGCAAGCAGGCATAGAGCAGGAGTTCACTATAGCGAGCAAAGCTAGAGTTAATCATAGCGAGCAAGTGAGGAGGAGGAGGAACTGTGGAGGGAGAGAAGATGGGAGGCAACGACTGAAGCTGCAGAGGCACGGGCACAGGAGCGGCTGACTCAGTGGCTTCCGAAGCAAGAGCGACGGACTACTGGAGTAACTGGCTACGCGGCTATAGACGAGCGGTAGGAGCAACGGACCCACTGGCGACTGGTGCAACAGGCTCACTGGCTACCGAAGCAAGGGCGACGGACTACACGCGCTGCAGGCGACACGACAGCTACCTTCACACAACCTCCTCCAGCTGCCCCACACCCCTCGACACACACCCCCTGCTCAAACCCTAGTTCCACTCCCACAGCACCCCCCTTTCACACACCCCCTGCTACACCCTAGGTTCACTCACACCCCGCCCCCTAGCACCACTCCGTCGACTCCCACACACCCACCCCCCTCAGCAGTAGCTGCAGCAGTGGGAGACAGAGGAGGAGGAGGAGCAGGGGAGACCACACACCCGCCACCCCCAAACCCTAACACAGTGCAGGGCCGAGCGACGGGTAGGGAGGTTACGGGGGGGGGGTGGGGGCGACGCGCGGCCTCCTAGGGCGCCAAAACAGGCGGTAGAAGGGGCGACGTTTGCCCCCCCCCCCCCCCCCCAGGCAGCCCCCTCAGGTCGCCTCGACGGGCGACGGGAAAAGAGGGGGGGGCGGTGCACTTGCCCCCGGTGCGCCGCGACAGACGACGGAGCATGGCCGGGGCGGGGCCGGGGCAGGGTCGAGGTAGGGCCGAAAGGGGCGGCGACGGGGCCGCAAGGGGCGGCGACGGGGCCGCTGGAGGCGGCGACGGGGCCGATAGGGGCGGCGGCGGGGCAGCGAAGGGGCCGCGAGGGGCCTGGAAGGGCGGCGACGGGCCGCTAGGGGCGGCAACGGGGCCGCGAAGGGGCCGCGAGGGGCCTGAAAGGTCGGCGACGGGGCCGCGAAGGGGCCGCGAGGGGCCTGAAAGGTCGGCGACGGGGCCGCGAAGGGGCCGCGAGGGGCCGAGAAGGGCGGCGACGGGGCCGTTAGGGGTGGCGACGGGGCCGCGAAGGGGCCGCGAGGGGCCTGGAAGGGCGGCAACAGGGCCGCGAAGGGGGTTTAGGTGGGGCGTGCAGCTCACAGAGTAGCAACGAAAGCAGTTAGGTGGGCCCACAGGCCAGGAGCGTAGATGCTCTAATACCATGTGAAGAATGAGGAATGAAGAAGAGAGGGGTTGCACTAGCAGCAGTTGGCATACATATAGGAAACCCTAATCGGGTTGTACTCGCTATAGAGTACCCCACTGCAGGCTAGACAATTATAACTTTCTGACACATCCCGTCCATCCCATCCCTACGCATGTTCCCCTTCGCCAAAGCAACACATCCAAGTACAAATTGCTGCTCCAGAAACTCACTCGACAGGGCATTTGCTCTTTTCATACTCTTAGTCTTTCTTCCCCACTCGACATCATGGTTAGACCGTTTTCGGAGATGTGGCAGCATGCGTCGAAGGTTACTTGGCCAGACGGCACAGTCACTGTAACATGCAGCTACTGCCCTTCTACCGTGACCCCAAATGCGACCCGTATTAGAGAACACATCTACGGGACTCCTCGTTTACGAGAGAAGAATGTGACTCCGTGCCCGTCCAAGTTTGCAAAGCAGCTTCGTGAAGCCGCCGAGAGGGAACGGTCTTCCAGTTCCAGCCGTGCTTCTTCCTCCACTTCGGTCGAGATGCAGCCCGCAAGGCGTTCTAGGCAGCGCGACATTCGAGATATGGCGGATACCGTGGCGCGCTCACGGCTAGATTACCTATGGGCGGCAGTTGTAGCGGAGAATGACCTCGCCTTCAATGTATCCAAGTCGAAGGCGCTGCAAGCCTTCGTTGACGTGGCCGTCGCCTTCGCGAAGCCGTACACACTCCCCACCCCTTACAAGGTGTCCGGCCCCCTCCTCGAAAGGCTACGGGCCGACTCCGAGGACCTTGTGCGGCCAATTAAGGAGTCATGGAAGACGTCCGGGTGCAGTCTCTCGGTGGACGGGTGGACGTGCCTCAAGTCCCGCGAGATGGTGTGCGTCATCGCCCACAACGACACCGCGCCCGTGATTGTCGACATCGTGGACTCAAAAACCACCAAGAAAACAGGGGGACTACCTCGCTGGTCTCATCGAATCCGCGATCCTCAGTGTGGGGAAGAACCTCGTAGTCCAGGTCGTAATGGACAACGCCTCGAACAACCGAGCCGCGGCTAAGAAGCTTGAGGTCGACTTTCCCCAGGTTTTTTTCACCAACTGCGCGGCCCACTGCTTGGACCTCATGCTTCACGACCTAGGCAACATTATGGCCGTCAAGCGCGTTTTGGAGCAAGTTCACCGGGTCGTCATGATGATCAAGGGGAGCGCCTCCGCCGTCGTGCTTTTCCGCGAACTTTTCACCAAGCTTGCCTTGGTGCGGCCGGGTGCGACGCGTTTCGGAACCCAAGTCATCATGCTGCGCCGATTCCTGGAGGTGAAGAAAGCTCTCCGTGCCATGGTCATCAACGAGGAATGGGAAGTGGTGCCGGTGGCGCGACAGCCTGAGGGGCAGGAGGTGCGGAGGCTTCTACTGGATGACGAGTTTTGGGAGTGTGCTACGGCGGTTCTCAACCTCCTCACGCCGGTTTATGAAGTGTTGCGGGTTGTCGACACGCGGGCACAAATCATGGGCCAGGTCTATGGCCTCATGATTTATGTCTCAATCAAAACGAGGGTAGCTGCCGAGGCTGCTGGTAAGTGCCATAACCAATTCTGTTTTTTTTTCATCACCTCGTACCGCACCGAATCTGTGATCCATGTTCCATCATACACACGCTTGCCACTCTTTGGACTAACCCCAATTTTACTCCCTCTTCACCGTGAGCAGCCTCTGTTTTTGTCAAGAAGACAGGCTTGCTGCCGGCTAAGGACAAGAACACATTCCTAGCTGCCATCAAGACCTTCCTTGCGAAGAGATGGGATGGCCAGCTCCATAACGCCCTGCATGCCATTGGATGGCTCCTCAATCCCCGCAACCAATACGCGGGGGAGATGAGAAATGATCCAGAGATAAGGAAAGGGACCGAAGAAGTGATTCAGGCCCGTGGGGGGGATGTGGCTGAGCGCATCAAGCTGTTTGCACAGCTCGCGCAGTATCACAAGGGTGAGGGCCGCCTTGGATCGGACGACGCTCGATGGGCAGCCAGGAACCTGGTGGAGGGGGGGCGCATGACGGATGCGGAGTGGTGGGGGATTTTCGGTGGGGAAGTACAATCGCTTCAGGAGCTAGCTGTGTTTACCCTATCACAGCCGGTCACCTCATCCGAGGTGGAGCAATTCTGGTCCAACCTTGCACGTGTGCAGAGACGGGACCACAACCGTGAAGAAGATGACGGATGTCACCTTCGTGGCCTTCACCAGGAGGGCCCGCGATGCATACGATCGCAAATCTGAGGCCCGTGCTAAGTTGTATGCCGACCTTACCAACGGAACCCTCAAGGAGGGCAGTGCCGTCCCGAGGGCAGTACCGTCCCTCCGGCAGCAGTGGAAGAAGAGGGAGGGGTGGCTGAAGAGGAGGGAGACGAGGTGGAGTGCACAATCGACTGGAACGAATTTGGGAGCATCGGTAAGAAGAAGAAGAAGAAGAAGCGGGCGGGTGAGTGCTCCAAGAGGAAGAGGAAGGAGAAGGGGAAAAGTGCATGCATGCGGAAGGCGAAAGGAAAGCGTGCAGAGGAGGAGGAGGAGGAGGAGGAGGAGGAGGAGGAGGATGAGGAGGCAGAAAGCAGTGGGCAGGAGGAAGCACCCTCCAAGCATGCTAAGGGTGTCCAGCCCTGGGACCGCAGTGATGGTGAGAGTGGGGAGGAGGAGGAGGAGGAGGAGGAGGAGGAGGAGGAGGAGGAGGAGGAGGAGGAGGAGGAGGGGTAGGTAGAGAGAGGAGGAGGGGGAGGGATTTGGTGTAGTTCTAGCTACAAAGGCTTAGCAATGCATGATAGTGTAGTGGTCCATTGTTTGTAGGCTTGTTTCTCTGTCGTGTAGTTTCTTGTAGCCTTCCTGGTCATCAATGTAAGCTGCCTAGAAGTTTCTGGAAAAAAACAATTGCAACAAAAACTCCAACAAAATTACGGCCGTTTTTTTGCAAAAAGCACCGTAATTTACAACCGTAAATTACGGACCGTAAATTACGATCACCGTATTTTTCAACCTTGCGTTGATTGCATAAAGAAAAATGAACTCGATGAGAAACTGAACGAGAATGAAGAAGAGGGGGTTCACTAGAAAGCAGCAGGATACATATAGGAAACCCTAAGGGGTTGTACTCGCTATAGAGTACCCCACTGCAGGCTAGAGAACAATAACATTCTGACACACCCCCATAGCCAAAGTGGGGTGTAATCAGCAGAGCAAGCAAAGCAGAACAAGCTCAGGGTGGATCACAATGTCACCACACATTCTGAGCACAAGTACAAGAAGCAATAGTTTAAAGTTAACAATTATGAGCAAAGCTAGTGGTAGTCACAACGGGCAAGTGAGGAGGAGGAGGGACAGTGAGAGGAGAGGAGATAGGAGGCGACGGCTGAAGCTACAGACACACGGGCAACAGGAGTCACAGTGGCACAGCGGCTACCGGAACAACGCTCCGGACTACTGGAGTAACTGGCTCCGCGGCTAAAAGTAGCGGCAGACGAGCAACGGACCCACGGGCGACTGGCACAGCTGGCTGCGACTGGGCTACCGGAGCAACTCCCTGGACTACAGGTGCTGCTGGCAACACGACGGCAACCTCCGTTCAACCTCCCCAAACAGTCCCACTCCCCCTGACACACACCCCCTGCTTCACCCCTAGCTCCACTCCCCCTTCACCCCCTTAGTACCACTCCGACGGCTCCAACAGGTCCACCCCCCTCAGCGGCAGCTGCAGCACTGGGAGACAGAGGAGGAGGAGGAGCAGGGGACGGCACACAGAAGCTGCACCCCCATACCACCCACCCCCAAACCCTAATCCAGGAGAACGGGCAGCAGCAGGGTAGGGGCGCCATCAGAGGCACGGGGGACAGCGGGCAGCGCAGGGGCAGCGAAGAACGGGCCGCCCATAGGCCTGGCACAGCCGCCCGAACCGCGCGCAGGCGGCCCGAGCCGCGCGCGGGCCTGGCGCAGCCCGTACGGGCCGCGCGCGGGCCTGTACCGGCCGCGCACAGGCCACGACGGGCGACGGAGGGCGACGCGCGGGTCCCCGTCTCCCGTCGCAGCGCCTCCCGGGAGCGACGCGCTGCGTGACGGGGCAGAAACCCGCCGCGCGCCTCGGGGCGCGCGGCGGGCAGAGAACCGCCGCGCGCCTCGGGGCGCACGGCGGGCAGAAAACCGCCGCGCGCCTCGGGGCGCATGGCGGGCAGAAAACCGCCGTGCACCCCGAGCGCGCGGCGGGATGAAAAATCCGTTGCACGCCACGGGGCGTGCAACACAGAGAGTAGCAGTAGCAGCGGAAGCAGTAAGGTGGTGAGCCCACCCACAGGATCGACCCAAGGGGATCGACCTGCTCTGATAGCATGAGAAACTGAACGAGGATGAAGAAGAGGGGGTTCACTAGAAAGCAGCATGATACATATAGGAAACCCTAAGGGGTTGTACTCGCTATAGAGTACCCCACTGCAGGCTAGAGAACAATAACATTCTGACACTCAAGCGAGAGAGAGAAATAGATAGAGAGAGTGACTGGGAGCATGGCGTAGTTGATTCCTCACTCTGACCGAGTAGCATGTCGTTTTATTTTGTGAACCTTCCTTATTGCGTCCACCCCAAACTCGTTCTCTCTCGTTCTCTCTCGTTCTCTCTTTCTCTCTCTCTCTCTCTCTCTCTCTCTCTCTCTCTCTCTCTCTCTCTCTCTCTCTCTCTCTCTCTCTCTCTCTCAAGTAGTCATCTATTGATAGTGGTCACAAGGTACAGACATGGCAGGAGATGGCTGTAGCTAGTTTGTCTGGGCCTGTAGGCAGCCAGGAAACCTAAGAGCTAGCAAACAGAGCATGCAAGCGAACAGGCAAGCATATGGGCAAGCAAGGCAAGCCAAGCAGTGCAAGCCAAGCGGGCATGCCGTTTGTGTACGGCCCTGTCCCCTAACATCTTAGCGGGCCGGCTAGCAGCAGAGCCAAAACCCCGAGTACCTCCCTCTCCTCCTGTCCTGTGGCTCCCCCGACCCCACCCAAGTCCCCCTGCCCCCCCGGAGCTTCCTCTCACTTTCCTGCAGTCGCCGACTTTTCCCTCCTGCCCCTCTAAGCCGCCGTGGCAGGAGCCTCCCGCTCCTCATACTCATCCTCCACCATCTGCCAGAGGTCCCCTAGCCGTGGGGCCCAGGGGTCTCCTGCAGCCTGCGGGAATGCCGCTTCGGCTGCTCGGTTGGACTTAGAGAGGAGTGAGATGGCTTGGCTGCGCTGCAGCATCACCGACGACCTCTGGCGGTAGTGTGCAGTGAGCCGAGCTGCCGTTGTTGTGAGGCGCCCCTGTCTGAACTTCGTCTTTGCCGCGTGGGTAGCCAGCATGCGAAGGAACTGGACTGTGTCTGCCAACATGGCCCCGTAGGTCTCGACAGCCAGTCCAAAGAATCCGGCATAGGTGGGGCGCCCTTCGTATAGCCGATGCTTCCGCTGTGAGGCTTCCTCCGCGGCCCACCCAGGCGGCCTGCGGGCCCTGCTGTCTCTGTTCTGTAAAACTGGGTCTGTCACGGTGACATCCGTTACCCATGTCGCCCCCGACTCCTGGTCCCGTATTGCTAAGTCTGCCCGTTTCCTGAGGACTGGTGGTGAGAACGCTGAGGTCTCATGAAACGTTTTGTAGCCCGCCTCATTAGCAATCCGCAGCGCCGCATAGACTAGGGCGTTGTGGGTCCTGACGGCATCACCCCCGTCCTGGCAGCGCAGCAGGTGGTTCGGCAAACTCTTGTCCCCGATCGCCGCGTTGTCACGTTTGCACGGGAACACGTCAGCTACTGGCAACTCCATGCCCAGGCGTAGGCCCAAGGCCAACGAGAACTGACCAGGGGAAATAGAGAGGTCAGCTCTCGTCGGTACCGCATGTAGCCAGTCGCCCGCGCCAGTCCCTCTCAGGCTTATCACTCTCAGCGCGTGACCTCTGCTGGTGCCAGGCCTGTCCGCCACCGTGTCCCCCGGGAGCTCGACCGCCCGCCGCTGGTTGATTATCTTGGAGAGGCACAGCTGGAGGCTGCCTGTGCCCTTGTTCCCCGTCCTGTAGGCTCCCAGCGCCACCTGTGCCTGGGCTGGCAGCCCCTTCTCTAAGCTTGACAGTGTGCTGCTGTCCGGCGGTGGTGGGCTCCAATCGTGGGAGAGCAGGGCCGTTGCTCTGTGTAGCAGGCAGTCCGGAGGAAGATTCAGGTGCTGCAGAAGGATGTGCGCCGCCGTGACAGAAGCGATGTAGGCGGCCAGGGCCTCAGAGACAGGGTCAATGATTCCCAGACCGCCCAGCCGAATCGGGAGGGTGGCCTGTCGCCACAGTAAGCTCTGCTCCAGCTCCGAGTTGGGGATGCGGAGCTTTGCAGCTGTGAACGCCGAGCCAACCAATGCCTCACTCCAGTCCCTCCACTCCTGAGCGCCCAAGGTCGTCGCCGGCGTCGTCCTCAGCATGTATGAGATGCGCCGGGATATGCTGCGGGAGATTATGAGCATGGCATGTTGCGGGTTTAGCTGAGAGACAAGGGGAAGGGGCGAGGCAGCTTCCCCCAGTGCCGCCCGGACTTGGGCAGTGCAGAAGTCGTTGCTGCCGATAGGGCTGCCAAGGACCCGTATCCCGCCCGGGTCCGCCACCAAGCCTAGTGGTAGCTCCCTGTTATCTCCGTCGTGCTCCGCTCCCCATGCCGATGACTTAGAAATGTTGCAGCGTAGTCCATATTCGGCCAAGTCGCCCGCTATCTTGGTGAAAGCACGGCACGCTGCTTCCCGTTGGCCGATAATTGTGATGTCGTCCGCGTAGGCTACCACTGCCACTTCCGGTGTAGTCGCCGAGACGCTCAAGAGGGCGGGCTGGATTGCTGCCGCGAACAAGAGAGGGCCCAAGGGATCTCCCTGTCTGACGCCACGTGTGCTCTGGATTTGGTCTACTCCCAGTCGAGCATCTACGAGCAGAGGCGATGGACCGTCGTACAGATTTCGGACCAGGGGAAGTAGCGGGCTCAGGTTGGACCACTGCAGCGAGCTTAGGAAAGCCCTTCGCTCGACACTGTTGAAGGCATTTTCGATGTCTAGCTGGAGAGCGATGCGGGTCTTTTTCTCACGGAGTAGAGAGCGGACCGTGTGGATGATGCACTCCGCACCTCCTGGAACCGCCACTCCAAACTGAACTGGTAAGAAAAAATCCCTTATCTTGGGCCCCAGGGTATGAAGCGACGCCTTCGCCACTATGCGTAGCAGGGTTTCGCCTATCGCTATGGGCCGCACTCCCCCATTCGGCTTCTCTAGAGCGATCAGACGGGAAGGCAGTAGCAATTTCCTTACGTGGGAGGCCTGGAAAGTGCTGAGCAGCCGATTTACCATCTTGGCGAAAAGCAGCAGCAGCTCCTCGTTGGCTAAGGCGGGGTCTCTGAGGTGTTCAAAACAAGTCCTAGAAGGTCCCGCTCCAACACCATTCGGGCATTTTGCCAAGATTTCGCGAAGTGAATCCGGCGAAACCGCCAGTTCAGACTCTGTGACTCCGGTAACCCACGCTGGTATCTGACTACCCGCTGTAGGGTGTTTCGCTTGCAGCGCTTCGAGTGTAGCCGGGGATGGTTCTGCTAGGGGGCACGTTCGGAGAGCTGCCACTGCTTTCGAGATATTCCCTTTTTTCACTAACCCCTCCGCTCTAGCGCAAACCCCTTCCTCGTCACGCTGGTGCCGTACCGGGGCTCCTGTGTCGGGGATGAATCCCGCTTCCTCGAAAAGCCC